AGGTATCCTTGAACTATTGATCATGAACTTCTAATCCTCCTGCCTCTGCCTCCCAAGTGCTGGATTACAGGTGTGCACCACCACACCTGGTTTGATGCAGAACTGGGGACGGAACCCAAGGCTTTCTTCTTCATAGTTTTTTAAGAAGTAGCCCGTCTCCTGGGGTGTGGTTAGCTCAGTGGTAGAGCCTGGGCTTAACATGTACAGGGCTCAGCTCTGGGATCAATCTCCAGCACACACACAAAAAAACAACTAATTTTCAAAACACATGTGTGATTTGGTTTTTAACGATTCCTGCACGTATGATGGCTTCATGCCACCACAAGCCCCGCCCATGACCCATGGCTGTGTAAGTACAGGCCAAACCCTGAGCGCCCCCCGGGCACAGGACCATCCTTGTCCTTGGTCTCGCCTTTCAGTACAAGATCTTGCTGCATGGATGCTGGTACGGACTCTTTGGAGGAAGCCCTGACAACTCTCCAACTGAACTGGACGAAGGCAACCAGAGAGCCCTGACCCAGCCTCTTCTTGGGGAGCAGAGTCTGCTGACCCGAGGCTCCCCAGGCTACAGCTCCAGCGACTCCCCTCTGGACTCGCCCACCAAGTACCCACATCTGTACCCACCGGGCAGGATCATCCACCTGGAAGAAGAGAGTGGTTCGGGGAGGTGAGTGGGGAGGCACGTGGGTCCGACATGCCCGTCCGCCGTGGGCGACCGGAAGCCTGACCCAAGTGCAGCTTCACTAAGCTCCTATTCTCTTTTGTTCAAGGTTTGGCTGCTGTTCCGCTGCCCACTACAGGGCAAGGTGGGCACATGAAGCAGACTTTGGCAAGATCCTGATAGGCCCCAAGATGCTGACTGACCACTTGCCTAACATCCTGAATCAGGCCCTGGACAGAGTGGTCGCCGACAGAACAGCCTGTGTCTCCTGCCCAGGGCAAGGCGGCTCTCACACAGCTGTGGTTTAATCCCCTCTCCTGGACACTGCCCAGCACAGTGGGCTTGTGATTTTTTTTTTTTTTTTCTTAGACTGACTGAATGTGAGTGGCTTCTGTGAGGCTGGTATGGTGGCATCCATCAGTAGTAATCTGATGAGTCCCAGTGGAATGGGCAACAACATGACCAAATTTTTTTTTCTTCCTGAGACAGGATTTCTGTGTAGCCCTGCCTGTCCTGGAATTCAATCTGTAGACTAGGCTGGCCTCAAACTCAGAGATCTGCCTGCCTGGGATTAAAGGCACGCACCACCATGGCTGGCCTACAGAACCATTTTTAACCACAGTATTAACAGGGACAGGGGTCTAGAACATGCAGAGGTAGGTGTTGGGACTTCTAGGGCAGCTCGTGGAGCGAGCCTCCTTTGGCCCCCTGAGAACTCCACACCTGAAGACCCTCTGTGGATCTCTAGCACTCCTGCCCCTGCTAGGATCCCATCCTGCTGTTTACGAGTCTGAACTTAAGACAACAGGTGTGCACTTTATATTCTTTCCCGGCATTCTTCCTGCGGCACTAAGGGCAGCCGGAACTTCCTCTGAGCCCAGCACTGCGGCTCATTTATACATGAACTGATTGCATAACTTTCATGTATGCTTAATTCTCACATTATTCTAGCTCTGGAGCCACATGTTGGGCTCAGAGGGAATTTTTTAAAATAAAGTAATTGATACACCACTGCACGGGAAGGTCTTCTGTATTGCTGGGACACAGACTTGCTAAGTAGCCCATGCTAGACTCCAGTGTGCTAATTCCCTGCATCAGCCTCTTGGTGCTAGGATTACAAGCATGCACCACTGTACCCAGGTGGCAATGAGGGGTTTTGCCTTTTTATTGAAAACCAAGTTGTCTTGTCACTCTGGTTACTGAGGACTGCACATATTCCAAATACAAAGAGTCCACCAAGCATAGGACACTTAAAAAAAAAAGAGGGGCTGGAGAGATGGCTCTGAGGTTGGGAGCACTGGCTGCTCTTCCAGAGGACCTGGGTTCTATTCCCAGCACCCACATGGCAGCTCAAAACTGTTTGTAACTCCCACTCCAGGGGACAACACCAATGGAAACAAACAAAAAAACTGGAAAACAAAAAAGCCAGGTGTGGTTAGTGGTGACTTGAAGCTGTCAGCACTCAGATGGGGGCAGGAGAGCAGAACTGGAGGTCACACTCAGCTCCTTAAAAAGATCCAGGCTGTGCTAACTCGAGATGCTGCCTCCAAACAAAACCCCAAAAGGGGGCTAGAAAGACTAAAGGGAAAACTCACAAGATGGATTAATAAATACAACTGCCAGGTATGGTAGAGCACGCCTATTTAATCCCAGCACTCTGGAGCAGAGGCAGGCCATTCTCTGCGAGTTCAAGGATAGCCTGGTCTATACAGTTCTAGGCCAGCCAGGACCATACCATAGTGAGATTGTCTGAAAAAGTAAAAGTACACCCCAGTATAGCAAAAAACAAAAAACAAAACCAAAAAAAAAAAAACCAAACAAACCTTGAGGAAAGAAAGAAAAATAACTTTGGTCAGGAATCTGAAGGGGCTGGGCATAGTGGTACACACCATTAATCCCAGCACTTGGGAGGCACAGGCAGGTGGATCTCTGTGAGGCCAGTCTGGTCTAGAGTGAGGTCCAGTATAGCCAGAGCTACATAGTGAGACCTCGTCCCAAAAAAAACAAAAACAAAACAAAAAACAACTGAAGGGAAGTCCCAGGAATTTTAGATACAGCGAAGTATCCCAGTAGAATGGCTTGTACTGGATGAAAGTCCTCAGACAAAATTAGGGTAAGTAGACCGTGGAATTGTGTAGGATATAAAGATTTAATGGCCAAATGATCCTGAGACATAGCAAAATGCAGACTGATCTGAATAGCACGTATCTTAAGATTCAACAGGAAGGGCTAGCGATGACTTGGGCAATAGTCTTGTCAGGCCAGATATGAGGACATAAGTTCAGTGCTGGAATGGTTGACAGGAAGGTCCCTAGGGCATACTGACCAGTCTACCCCAGGTTCAGTGAGAGAGCCTATCTTCTCCCCCCCACCCCCAAATCATTGAGAAGATACCTGGGGCCAGTCCCTACAGATGTGTGCATACAAACACTTTAAATTTCAGATTTCAGTAAGCCAGGAAGTTTAGTTGAACTCTTCACAAATACACAGAACAATTTAAGCATTATCCTCAGGAAAACAGAAGTGCAGGAGAGGTCAAGTTCTGTTATCACTGGGTACAACTTGAAATTTATGTACTTATAAAATCATGTCTACCGGACACCCAGTATTTGGAGAGAAATGAAGATGGTGTTGGGGTGCCACTGGGGAGGCATTGTCCCTCACACCCTTCCTCGTTGGATCAAGACCTGTGGCCGAACATTGTGGTAAAGGTGAACGTCAAAATTTTGACTGGGGAAACAGCCGGATATGGTGTCAGACACTTTTAATCCCAGCACTCAGGAGAAAGAGGCAGGCAGATCTGTGTTCTAGGCCAGCCTGGTCTACAAAGTTCCAGAATGGCCAAGGGATACAAGAGAAACCCTGTCTCAAGGAAGAAGAAAAAAAAAGTTTAGACCAGGGTGGGGCCTGGAGAGCTGGCTTAGCAGTTAAAAGCACTTACTGCTCTTGCAGAGGACCCAGGTTTGGTTCCCAGCACCTACATGGTAGCTCATAACCACCTGTATCTTCAGTCCCAGGAGATCCAAAGCCCTCTTCTGACCCGTGTGGGCACTGTATACTAGTGGTACACAGACACACACATTTGAACAAAACACTCATAAAACTTAAAAAAAAAAAACAAACCTGGAAGTCCAGCCTTTAAAATGGGTCAGGCAGAGCTCATGTTCTTTTAAGACTTATTTATTATTATTATGTATATAGCATGTATGACTGCAGGCCAGAAGAGGGCACCAGATCTCATTACAGATGGTTGTGAGCCACAATGTGGTTGCTGGGAATTGAACTCAGGACCTCTGGAAGAACAGTCAGTGCTCTTAACCTCTGAGCCATCTCTCAGCCCCCTCATGTTCTTATAATAAGCCTTTACTGCTGTGTTTTAAAATTCCCCTTTTAAGCTGGGCAGTGGTGGCACACACCTTTAATCCCAGCACTCGGGAGGCAGAGGCAGGCAGATCTCTGAATTGGAGGCCAGCCTGGTCTGCAGAGCGAGATCCAGGACAGCTAGGGCTGTTAGACAGAGAAACCCTGTCTTGAAAAGAAAAAAAAAGAAAAAGAAAAAAAAAAAAAAAACCTACCTGTTTTAATTCTGGTTAAAAGAAAAAATGTGGGCTGGAGAGATGGCTCAGAGGTTAAGAGCACTGGCTGTTCTTCCAGAGGTCCTGAGTTCAATTCCCAACAACCACATGGTGGCTCACAACCATCTGTAATGAGATCTGGTGCCCTCTTCTGGCATGCAGGCAGAACACTGCATACAAAATAAATAAATCTTAAAAAAAGAAAAGAAAAAAGGTGGGTTGGTTTGATATGAAAGATGGCTTTGTAGGTAAGGGCACCTGCCTGAGTCCAATGTGTGGGTGGGAAGAGCACTGGTTCCTGAAGCTTGTCCTCTGACCACGTGCTGTGCCATGTTCATACCCAAGCACGTCACTTTTAAAGATTCTAAGTACAAAAATCACCAACGAAAGCCAATTCTAACAGGCTGCGTAACTGTGCACGTGCAGGTTCCCCGAGGATGGAGATGTGGTCCATCCTGCCAAGCCCCACGGCTCAGCTTCCCATCGTTAGCACGCTATTCTGGCACATCTCCCACAGGCATGTGCTCGTGCAAACCGTACCCCATGTGGGCATCTTCACTTGAGCACCCCGACAAGACTGAACACGAATACCACCCCCACTGCATTGTGTGGTTGTGGAGTCACCTACCTTTTTCCCTGAAGGTGGCACGCCCTCCACCCCTCCAGTGTGAGAGGCACGTCTCCAACAATCCAGGATTTTAGAGTGAGGCAAACACTCTAAGAGCTTGTTTGTCAAGTTCCAAAAACACAAGCATGACCAGTTGTATGATTCAAGGTTTTATTAAGTCATACATGCAAAACATACTGCTAACTGCATTAGCAAAAGATCAATGTAAAAACACTCCACAATTCTGCAACTGTCAATTGAAAAAAGTTTGTTCTAGTGGTTGGAAGGCCCAACACTGTGTTCTTGCCAGGGAGTTAGGTTGTACAGAACAGCATTAGCACTAGCAGTTGACAGAACCTCACAGACCCAAAGGAACATCTCTAGGCGGAGCCACGACGGGAAGCATGTGTCCACGTGGGTGAGGTCTAGAGGGGCAGCATTAGTCACATGACAGTGTTGGTACTCTGGCAAGACAGTGATGTTTAGAAGGTTCATAGTTTAAGAAGAATATCTAAAATAGTTTAAAAACTGTAAAGCTGCAACACATGATTTTTACACCTAGTTACTAGAAAACTAAGGAAAGCACTTATTAGCATTGAGTAAAGTAAGGTGAAAACAGGAATGCACTTCTACTAATCTACCAAAAGAAAAAGAAAAAGAAAAAAGAAAAACCTCAAATGCATTATCAGGAAGATCTTATAGTACAGGTCAGACATATTGCTCGTTCAGAAGGGTCCTAAAGAAAAGCACTTGCTAAGTCAGCAACTGTGGGGATGGCCAGTTTAAATAGGGAGTCAACACCCTGGGATCTGAGGAGGGACGGCAGTGTGGGGACAGGAACAGCTCAAGAGAGACACTGATGAGACCGGCCATTTGTCATCTACTGTGTCTGACAGAAACTAACCGTTAGAAATCTTTACCCGTGACACTTTTATTCAGTTGAATTACTCCATGTACAATGTAGTGTAATCTCTACTTCATATTAGTCAAAATACTGTCTTTATCCTTTGACCATGTCGTGCTTCACACACTCCACCCAGCATACCCACGACTAGGAACAGAATACTTCATTCGAGGCAACACGGGAACCAGATCTGTTCAAAGTCTGCAAAAGCTAGTCAACTGGGATTTTAGAAAAGTCACTATGAAATCAAAGGGCTGAGCTGTTACACTCACTCCTTGTGACGTACAGTACAAAGTTATGTAATGAACATGGGCTGATAAGTTACATGGCAACGTGTCGTTAAGGAGGCTGTGCTGCGTGCATCACATGGTCTGGAAACTAGGGGAGGGTCTGCACCCCGACTCCAGAAGCTGCAGTCTTCTTAAAAACAAAAGTCTCTCTCAACAGTTTAGTGCTTAAGTGTTCTCAGCACAACGCGACTTAGTTCAGAAGGTATTTTGGCAATTCTTATTCTGAGCAAGAATAGGGGATTTGAAAAATAAGGCTTTAAGAAGGCTTGTCATTTAGGGCTGAATTTTAATAGACCGTAAGTTGGAATTCTTACATTTAAAACAGAACCTTAAAATTATTGACTGGTTCATTGGTTCAAAATGGTTTTATGGAAAAATTAATCTGTAACAAAAACTTGGCATCAAATGCGAAGGCTCCACCGTTTTTTGAGCAAAGCGTACAAAGGTTCCAGGGACAGGACCAAGAATGAGGGGCTCAGACATTTACAACAACAGGCATTTTCTCTTCCTCTTCTTGACAGGAGGTGGACAGAGAACCGCTCGGATAGCTTCATCAAACACTGTCTTGAGGCCCCGCTGTGTGAGTGCTGAGCACTCCAGGTATTTGACAGCACCTAGAAAAGACAGCCACGGGGCACTGATAGATACCGACACTCAGAACACAGTTCCCCTTGACTAAGTGGGCACAGTGTGGCTCAGCAGCCAACTCCCACACCAACACGAAGACCAGCAAAGAGACCCCCGCGGGAGAAACCTTCCCCTCACCCGACTCCAGCCACTCATCAGGACTGCAAAGCAGACACAAGAAACGAGGGTTTCATACCGATCTCCTTCGCCATGGCTAGCCCCTGCGGGTAGGTGATGGGAGTCAGCTTCTTCTCCTTCAGCTTCTCAATTGTGTCCTTATCATCCCTAAGATCAAGCTTCGTCCCCACTAGGATGATGGGAGTGTTGGGACAGTGGTGTCGCACTTCAGGATACCACTAGATGTGAAGACAGAAACAAGGCCATGCCGCTCTCCTCCTCCACCCAGCTCATATGCAGTGAGTATAACCTCTAGGCAAAGATGGCCTTGCAGAGCTTCCCTGCCTCCTAACTGAGCCTTAAAGAACCGTGCAAACCCTGGCTAGCCAGGCTGGAGCCCCAAGACAGAGGACAACATGACAGACCCCACCTGTCAAGAACCAGGAGGAAGGAGACAAGAGAGAAGGGCAGAATGGAAAGTACCCCCAAAGGAAATCACTTTTGTTCTTAGGAAAAGAAGTCTAATTTATAGGATCACCCTAGAAAACTCACTATCAGCTCAGGAATGAGAATACAAAGCTAGCTCCACTGTCCCCGCCATGGTCCCTAACTATACTAACAGGGTCCCTTACCCCTTCTCACTAAGTTGGTGCAAGATGCTGGAGCAGAAAGAAATGGTCACTAGGTCAATTCCGAAGTACCACTGTGACGAGAGCCTGCTTCCCAAAGAAATTAGTTCTAGAAACCCATACCTTAAAGCCAGACTTAAAAATGGCCCATTCCTCAATACAGTTACTAAAGTCAAGTTAAACAATTCCAAGTTCCCAGCAGCTGATAGCATTCATTTTACTTTGCAATATTTTTCTAAGAATGACATTATGCAAAAATCGTTCCGTAAGTTCCACTTACCTTTGCACGGACATTTTCAAATGATGCAGGACTCACAAGGGAAAAGCAGATTAAGAACACATCCTACAGAAAGGAAACACAGGCAACATGTAGAGGACACTCTTACACTGCCCAAGAGCTCTGCCTAACACTGCTTGCAGTGAACTGTCAGAGGCACTGCATGCTACTGCTACCAGCAGCTAGGTCCTCAATACCTCCCACTTAGCCCCCGCCACCCCCCAAGTTAGCCAGATGACTTCCAAACCATTATCAAACCCGCCAACCAGACTTAAGAAAACTGCTGGAAGCCGTTTGAGGTTTGAGAAGTATGAAATCACATTCCCAGGAGGCTGCTTTCCAATCATGCCCAACTGGGAACCTAATCATCTGTTATCAACACAGAAACTCTTCTGAAAAACAGTGTCTCAGGCTCATGGATGCAGAGTTGATTTTAAATACATCATCTACCAAGATACGCTTTTCATTAAGCTCTCCATGTGCACATTAAGTGCAAACCTTACATCATCACTAGCGTCAATCAGCCAGCTTGTCACTGTCCCTGGCACAAAATGGAGTTCAAAGATTTGCTGCCGGCCCTCCAGCCAGGGAGAGAACGCAGTGTGACTTCTCCCAATGACAAGCACTGACCACACCCCAGCACTGTCACAGCTTCCCAAGCACAGCCGGGGTCCTCTGGGAAACTTGCCCCCAGGGCAGCTGTGGCCCCAGAAAGAATGCAAAGGGAAAGCAATGCCAGAGTGCTTACTCAGGAGAAACTGCTGGCTAAATATAAAATATCTGAGTTTTCCTTCCTATCTGGTATTGCACATGAAATAAAATTCAGTTATTTACCTGTATAAAATAATGCCCAAGAGTTTCTAAAATGCTAGGCTTATCAAGACACAGCCCTAGAAAATGCAATTATGCTATGTTGTGAAATGCAATTATGCTATTTTGTGAAATGCATACAGTTCCCAAGCTAGCACCTTAAACCATCCAGCTGGTATCTTGTACCTGGAAAGGAAAGAAACATCCCACACGACAGCTTTTTATAAACAACAATGTTTACTTCAATGCTGGCGCATGCACAAGCCTATCGGAGAATCACCAGGGCCTCCCAGCATCCAAGTTGATTCCGAACCCTCTCAAAGCACAGTTGGGTTAGCTCACCAGCGCTGCACAGTCGCCCCGCAGCCCACCACACAGAACACCAGAGTAAGAGAAAAGGCCCTGGGAGTGAGGTTAGTCTGGCTCACCACATAACCACCCAGGCAAGCACCAGGTGGACCCTCCACACCTGCACCTCCTACCATCCCAGGGAGGGGCTGCCCGAGGCCCTTCCTTTCACGTGGGAGGAGGGAAGCAAGCAGTTCATGGACCACTTCAATCAACTGGTAAGGAACAGTCAGGCTCCAGTGAAAGTTTATTTCATCACGTGAAACCTCTCCTTGAGTGAATCAGATAGGAAACACTCAAGGAACCCGAGGCTCTATAATAGTGTTCCTGGGAAGACTAAGTGAGATGAGAGAGGAGACAAAGCTTGAGGCTGAAGTCGACTCAAAGTCTTACATACGGCAATCGGCTTGTCTCTGCCCCTGGAGGTGCTATCTTTACCACTTGTGTCTCCAACCTAGTAATGCAGGAGAACTTTGCTTGAGTTCAGTACAAACTAAGAAATACAAAAGTCAATATAACCTGTTAGTCTTCATCAGAAGTTGTCTCAGCCCTCCTGAGGAATCCAAAGGTGTACGATAACTTAACACATCTCAGAAGCCTAGAGCCACAAAATCATTACTCCATGAAGCCTGGAGCTAAGGGGCTGCCGTCCCCTGTACAGCTCAACAAGGAAGTCAAGTGCACGCTGGGCCTGCCACCAAAGCACTCCCACTGTGGCAGCCTTGCCAGAATTGAACACATCCCCCAGAGTCAGTATTCAGAAAGTGTCCCTTAACATAAAAAGGCCTGTTGATGGCACCCATTAGTGTCAAGATCTTCAAAGACTGAGTTCTCAGAGACACACGCCAAAGGAAACCTCAAAGATAGGTGAGGCACCTGCCTATAGGCAGTGAGGCTTTCCGGAACAGGGAGCCAAAGGATCCAAGCAGGCACACCAGCTTCCTGCCCCAGTTCTGGAGTGAGGTGTGGATTCAGACTGCAGTTACTCAAGTGAATAGTGTTATTCAGACTAAGGTCCCTTAGCACCAGAGTTGAGAGGGCAGCACTTGATGGCAATTTTCTAAGTGACAACCTTTTCCGTTTCCATCATCATACTTTCAGTTTGTTTCTATCCTCAGTAAAATTTGACACGCTTACTCTCCCAATATAGAACACCCCAGAAATTCTAATAAAGACAAGCAAGGCAATTATTTTAATTCACTTCACTCAACCTTTGTATTTACAATTCAAAGAGTACAATTTCCATGGACTGCAGGTTTCATCTGTGGGCTATTTCTGAAGGTGTCCACATATTGTTTCACTGTGACAGTCATCAGTATAGGTCAGAAAACAGCTGGAGCCCCCTCTAGCCTCATTCACTCCACCCCCGTTAGCCCTCCAGCATCTTCCGGATGGAGGAGAGGCACACACAAGTGCAACCACACTTCCAACCTACACATGCATTATGCTATCTGCCTTCTCCTTTCTTGTTCCTTTTTGGCCCCTTCCCCTTGGCCTAAATACAGCTTTCATTAAATTAGTTGGCTTCTGATGCTTTTTTCCTACCACCAATCCCTTCCGACCTTGCTTTCCTGAAACCAGGGCACAAGGGGTTGTCCTACTGCTCCTCCCCATCCTTGTGACAGCACCCATCTTTTCTGGGAACTTGACTACCTTCTCAGATCACCAGGACACTTATAATTACCATATACCCAACCCGCCTTTAGTGAGTCTTAGTGTGAGTCTCCAATAACTTTATTACTCTCTCCTACATCACCAGCTACTTCTTTCTCCCTCACCTGTCAAAAGTACAGCCAGAGTTGAAAGAAACAGTTCAGTTAGTCAAGTACTGTCTGGTGGGCATGAGGACCCCCGGGGTACGCCCCAGGACCCAGTGAGAGACCACGGCTCAAGAAGAGCTAAGTGGCTCTTGAAGAACAACATCTGAGGGTGACCTCTGTCACACACACACACACACACACACACACACACACACACACACACACACACAAGCATACACCAACTACAGCTACCGCAGTCCTGCTTGCCATACCTCTGCCTGTCAGCGGTACCGTCCCCAGTAGGAGCCAGCTTTAGAATGAGAAAGAGCAGAGCAAAAGGCGACTGAAACCTCACTACCACAGAACCATGGTAGCCTGTATTCTAGTCTCTCCCAAACCCTTCTATCTGTATTTCAGGTTCACATCAGGATTTTTCTTTGTTTTTTCCTTGTTAATATATTAAATATTACATTTAATATAATAAATATTTCCCCCACACAGGGAAAATGACCAGGGCTTACACACACAGCAGAGAAAAGGCAGATCTAAAAAAAAGCTGGGCAGGCGTCCCCAAGAAAACACACCCTGGAAGAAGGCAGGCAGCTCCTAGCCCCTGGGAGCTGGCCTGAAGCTGACAGCTTCACTTGGTGGAGGTGTTCCTGTAAATCCTAACGAGCTCCCGGGCCTCCCTGTGACCATGCTGATGAAACGCACCACATGGAAATAAAGACTAGGAGATCATTTCCTAAACCCAAGGTCACTCACTTGGAGAGGCTCGGAGTACAAGGAACTGCTGCTGCTTCACCAGTGGACGCTTCAGCCCCACTGCATCCCACCCCCTTCTAAGGAGGACCTCCTAAAATACAAGGCTGTCCCAGCACTCAGCCGGGGCAAACCCCTTTGACTGCGTCCGACACACCTCCAATCACTAATACGGTACCTAGAGTGCTCCCCTCAAGGCAAAGAGCAGTACACCCTACTCTGGGGAACTGCAAGTAGTTTTTAGTGACCTCCAGCTGGAGGACCAGACATCTTAACAAAGACTAAACCAACCCTTCAAAAATCAAAACTGCGCCAGGCAGTGGTAGTACATAGACAGCACTCAGGAGGTAGAGGCAGATGGATCTCTGAGTTCAAGGCTAGCCTGGTCTATAGAGCAAGATCAAGGACAAGCAGAGCTACACAGAGAAACCCTGTCTAGAAAAACAAAGCAGAAAATAGGAAATCAACGCTGCAACCAGTGTGGGCACTCACAACTGTAACCCCAGGGGCTAGAGAGATGGCTTTGCTCTGTGATTACAAGACTGACTGCTCTGCCACAGGACCCAGGTTCGATTCCCAGCACCCATGTGGCAGGCAGTTCACAATTGTCCCTAATTCCAGTTCCAAGGGATGTGATCTGGCCCCCGTAGGCACCAAGCATGCACATGGTACACAAGCAAACATGTAGGCAAATATTCATACACACAAAAACAAATCTTTAGAATATCAGTTTAAGCTGCAGGCTACATACTGTCTCAAAACAACAGTGGCCATAGGAAGTGTTAACATCTCTTTTTAGTGTGCTCCAAACAAGAAACTTCCACTTGGCTCTTGAGAAGAATACCTGAACACAGTGTTTTAATGAGTCACATACACAGGCTTATAGCTCAAAGAGCCAAGACTATGTGCCAGTCAGCAGAGACACAGAGTAAGGTGCCAGCCAAGAAACCCTCGGTCTCCTCATAGTATGACATCATGGCCCACAGCAAGGCAGACTTCTGAGCACTGGCATTTGAGCATAACTTCCACATCTCAGAGAGTCCTAGCAAGCAAGCCTTTGGCTGCTGGCTGAGTGCTCTTAAGGACCTTCACCTCACCACCCACACGAGAACATGGTGTATTAGCAAGAATCTTTTCTTACTCCTGTCTCGCTACTCAGTTCCTTCATAAGGAAACCATCCACCTGCTACACACAGCAAATCTACAGCAGCTACTCTGAGTCAGACCTTACACACACCTTTACAGTTTATTCAATCTGGGAAGAGTCCACCTCACTCATCTGTGATACTCAGCACACAGAGTCTGACTCCTGCCAAGTCACCTTTGACTTGCTAAGAATGACTCCCTCAGACAGAATGGCCTCACCCTATTCTGTACCCACTGAGTCACAATAGGGTGGCTCCCATTTCTCAGAAATGATGCCACACCCTTCCAGAAACATCCACTGGGCTGGATCTATACCAACTGCTATGTTTTAAAGCCCACCTGAAATCTGGAATTATTTAGCACCCACTAGATGCTGAGCGTTTCTAAAGACACCGAAGGCTGCAATCACCTCATGATTGTGCACTGATTTTAAATACTTGATCATAGGCAATTTTTAGCACTAGATTAACCGGGGAAAAAACCAAAACAACAACAACAACAAAAACCCCAATTCAAACCTTCCTTCTTACATTTTTTATCTTTATTTAGCACTGTTAACTAAAATTCGGCTATAACTCAATTAACAGAAACCTACAGTTCAAAAAGACAGTATCTGGCAACACTTCCACTGAGAAATGAAAGGTAACCTCTGACTGCAGAGAAAAGGGATCTTCTACTGTGCAAAACCATTACCAACTAAGCAGCAAGTTCATTTAAAAACACAAAGACACTCCAAAGTAAGGGCTAAGTAGGTACAGCTGCCCAGTCAGTCAGAGTTCAAAGCCTGCCTTTCTCTAAGCTATGCCCCCAGCCCAAGCCAGATCCCCCAGTAAACAATGAGAGGCACTAAAGAGAGCACAAGGAATGCTCATCCAAGGAAAACCTGCAGAGAAGCCTCGGCTCATCAAATCTGTAAAGTGGAAGGAGAAGCAAGTGGGCACTAGAGGGTATGGACTGTGCCAGAACTGGTGTGCACACAACAAGTATTTTGTTGTTATTTTTGAAACAAGGTCTCACAATATAGGCTAGCTTTCAACTCACAGACATCCACCTGCCTTGTCTCCAAAGTCCTGAGATTATAGGGTTGAACCAACACACCTGGTCTGATATGTATTAACTCATTTTATGCTAGTGGCAAGCAGGTAGAGGCCAGAAATGAAGAAACTGCCTGAAGATGCACAGCTAGGTAAAAGTACAGCACCTGAATCCAAGGCATTCAATCAGCTGCCTTTACAGTTGGCCATTTTATCACCAGAACTGTTCTATGATACATTCTTATTTCCTTACCTCCCTGTGCTGGTATGTATAAAGGCAAATGCTCTACCCTGAGCCATACCCCTGGCCCTAAAATACACTGTCTAAAATGAAGAACATGTATTAAGATAAGCAAATGACATACATATGACAACTGCTTTGCACCATAACACTGCCTTCCAAGTACCCACTGTTCTTGCCAATCAGTGCTCTAATTAGCTTCAGGTAAATGATCATTTGGCTGCCTCATATAGAAGCTGAACTAACTAAAAAATGTTTTTCCTGGCTAGACACAAAGGTCTATTTTACAAAACTGAAACCTTAGTACTGAAGTCAAGAACTATGTGCTTTATGGGGGTGGGGGGCAGTATTAGGGCTTTTGAGACAGGGTCTCATGTAGTCCAGGCTAGCACTTACTATGTAAGCAAGGATGACCTTGATCATCTTGCCTTCACTTCCGATTTCAGGCACAAGCCACTATGTCCAGTTATGTGGTGCCAGGGATGTAACTCAAGACTGTGAATGCCAGGCAATCATTTTACCAACTGAGCAACATCCCCACCCCAAGAAACCATAACATTAACTCCTTAATTTGTTTTTTGGAGACAAAGTCCCAAACTATAGGCAAAGTTGACCCTCAAACTTTATAGCAATGTTGCCTCAGCTGGATGATAGGTATGAGCCACCATGCCCAACCTAACCGCTTAACTTGCTTTTACAGTGCAAAACCATCCAAAACAAGCCATCTTTCAAAGTAACTGCTGTTAAGAACAGCTTTGCAAAACCAAAAATAAGTCAGTACCTGTTCTGATTGTCTGGAAACTAAATAAAAGAATGCAAAATAAAAAAGGCTGAATAACTGATAATATTAAAAAACCCGCTGGGTGGTGGTGGTGGTGGTGGTGGTGGTGGTGGTGGTGGTGCACGCCTTTAATCCCAGCACTCAGGAGGCAGAGCCAGGCGGATCTCTGTGAGTTCGAGGCCAGCCTGGACTACAGAAGGGAGTTCCAGGAAAGGCACAAAGCTACACAGAGAAACCCTGTCTGGAAAAACAAAAACAAAAAACCCCCAAATTCTGACTTGCATGAAAGGAGGTATTTACTACTAAACTAATTTACCTTCACTTACATGCTCACAGAGCCCAGTCACAGCAACACAAGTAGATCTGTGAGCCCACTAGGTGGACACTGAAGAATTACACACTCTAAACATGGTAAAATCAAGCGTGAGCCTTACTGTTTGCGGATAGGAGAGGGGACGCAATCTGTCATAATCTTCTTGTCCAGCTGTATCCCATAAGCCCAGATTCACTGGCTTTCCATCTACCATAACATTGGCAGAATAGTTGTCAAAGCTGTAGGAAAGGACAAGAAAAGGTTAGTCATAGACTTGGGGACTAAGTCACAGTCCCACAGCTTCCCAAAAGAGGTGTGCTATAGCAAAGAGGATGGGCCTGGAGGCTGCTAGTCCAGAAAACATCCCGAGGCATGAGAAGTCGCCTGGTCAGGCTGAAAAATAGGACACAGGGAATCAAACACACACAACCAGAGAGACAAGAAACCAAGGACAGGCTACTGACTAACAAGGAAACAAACGTACACTCAAAATGAACTTGCCTTTAATAAAAACCAAGGGCTTTCTCTGCAGGAAAAAGACAACATGGAAAGAGTCCCTCTTCCAAATCCTAATAGTCATGTTTTTCATGAACATATTTTGTTCACTTTCAACCAGTGTCCTCAGTTAAAGTGTCCACAGCAAAGTCACCTATGCCTGAGGCCAAAGTGCAGTGGCACAACAAAACACTGCGGAACTTTAGAAGACACCCAAGTTCTCAGAGTGAGTACACCTGACCACATAGGTGTGTAAATTAGCCTGAAATTGCTATGGACAAATTAGTTAACTTCAGTAAGAGGCACCCCAGAAAAGCCTGCTGACTAACCAGAGAGGAAAAGTCATTATTTAAAGTGCTGTTATCCCAGCATTAAGAGGCCGAGGCAGGAGGATCACTGCTGTGGGATGCTTTTGTACACTGGTTTAATAAAACGCTGATTGGCCAGTAGCCAGGCAGGAAGTATAGGCAGGAAAAACAGACAAGGAGAATTCTGGGAAAAGGAAGGCTGAGTCAGGAGACACCAGCCCATTGTCCAGGGAAGAGCATGTAATGGCACACAGGTAAGGCCACAGAAAACGTGGAGACATATAGATTAACAGAAATGGGCTGAGTTTAAGTGTAAGAGCTAGTCAGTAGTAAGCCTGAGCTAATGGCCAAACAGTTTTAATTAATATTAGCCTGTGTGTGTTTATTTGGGTCCAAGAAGCTGCAGGACTGTCGAGTGAGAGAGATTTGTCCAGATCCAGACCAAGAAACCTTTTAGATACAGATCACTAAGAGTTCAAGGTCAACCTAGGCTACAGAACAAGACCTTGCCTTAAAACAAGAACAGAATGCTACTGTGGTATCACTGACTGCTCAAAAACAAAACAAAACCAAAAACTCAAGGGCATGGAGCACAGTAAGGTCAGGAGTCTTTGGCCAACCTGAGCTACACAATACCCCATTAAAAAAAAAAACAAAAAAACAAAAACAAACAACTTTACCATTGCAACTTAAAACAAGACAAGATCTTTATTTGTTTTGTTGGCATGTATGTACATGCACATGTGTGTCTGGTGCCCATGGAATTCAGAAGAGGGCGGGCGACATGTCCCCTGAAACTGGAGCTGCCATGTGGGTGCGGGAACCAAACCCAGATCCTCTGAGAACAACCAGGGCTCTTAGCCACTGAGTCATTTCTCCAGCCCCAGGAAAAATATCTAATACATCAGTGTTAAGGCTAAAGGGAATTATTTTTATTATTTGTAGTACTTAAAAGTAGGGACTTGGCCGGGCAGTGGTGGTGCACACCTTTAACCCCAGCACTTGGGAGGCAGAGCCAGGTGGATCTCTGTGAGTTCAAGGCCAGCCTGGTCTACAGGAGGGAGACCCAGGACAGGCACAGAGAAACTGCACAGAGAAACCCTGTCTCAAAAAACCAAAAAGTAGGGACTCTTGGTATAAAAAAGGGCAAAGTTTAAGCTAATGTGATTTATAGACTACTAACCAAAACAGCCTTTATAAAGATCAAGGCAGGTGTGGTTTACACAAGGGAGGCCAGCCTGGGCTATCGTGGTCCCCCTAGGGTCTGTGCCTTCAAGAGTACACTGGACGCAGACATGAGGACAGAGTGCTGCAGCGTCATGAGAAAAGTGCTTTTCTTCCCTCTCAGCTGGGCTACCCATTCGGAACACAACTCTGCCTAGTCTCACCTCTACAGCCCTGTCACAGTGACATGGAGCCAACTGTGACTGCCCGAAAGGCCAATTAAACCTAGTGCAGCCGCACTCTGTGCTCCAGTTCCCACAGAGCCAAGTCATCAGACACCCCACCGCTGTGCTCAGGCTCTGGTTTTCTCTACATTTCCCAGCCTATACACTCCATAGTACAGAGTGTAATCTTCTGTTTCCTAAATGTCTAAATATCAATCAGGAAACTGTACATTCCCTCATATGAGCCTCATATAAGGAAAGCATACATTAAATTGACTCATTTATTTTTGAAGCTCTAAATACCTAACAATTAGATTCCAGTCAACGTTTGAGAGGAAAATAAACACTATTCATTCACATATGGATTGACAAGAGCTTTGCAGAATAGAAAAAAGACGCATCACAGGCAAAATGGCTCCCAACCCGAGGAGGATACTCACACGGTGGGGATGTACTCTCCAGGGAATGCATTGGTCGTGTAACTGATCAACAGGCAGGTTTTACCAACAGCTCTGAAAGAAGAGAAGAAGGCTGTTTAGTCAACATGAACACAATCCTGGCTTCCACCATTCTGCTACAACAACCTACAAAATCCCTGGGAACAGTTATACCACATCCATGGCGTAAACAAATAAGTTTTTCTAATTTAACATTCTGCTCACTTTTTATCTTAAAAATAAAACGAAACCTTTGTATTTCTCAGCAAGGCAGATTGGGCAACCTCCCCTTCTGTTTATGTGGCATCTGGACCAGCAGTCAAGGATTACTAAGGACAGGACTCAGAGAAGCACTTAACAAAGTTTCTCCTAGAACATCTTCCACTCAGACGATTACTAATATGTGAACATGGCAGCCGCCTTTGCAACTTGCACTGTTCTTTTTCAAGTGCTGACTAATGCTGCTTCCTGCCTCTCAAACTCCCATGCCCCGCCCCCCTCAAAAGCCTGTCCCTAACAGAGCACAGCCAGTTCAACAGCCAGAGGGCTCGCTCTCTCTCTCTCTCTCTCTCTCTTTCTCTCTCTCTCTCTCTCTCTCTCTCACACACACACACACACACACACACACACACACACACCACCTCTCTACCCCCAATTCTCACAAGATGTGAAAGGAGCTAGCATCATATATCCCAAACATGTTAATGAAGGGCACAGGGATGGAGTAAACTTCTCAAACAGCTGCAAAGAGAGAGCAAAAGAGAAACGTGCAGAAGTAAGTAACATTAAGGGGACAGACAGCTATCGCTATCACTAGTGTACCCTCAGGTACAAGTTAGGGTACTGTCTGAAAAGCTCCCAACAGGATGATGGTGGTGCACGCCTTTAATCCCAGCACTTGGGAAGCAGAGGCAGGTGGATGTCTGTAAGAAGTTCGAGGCCGGCCCTGGACTACTACAGGGTGAGTTTCAGGACAGGCTCAAAAGCTACACAGAGACCCTGTCTCATAAAAAAAGAAAAGCTCCCAACCACCTGAAGTTTTTTTTGAGAATATAACTAAGAATGAAGATTGCTGCATCATTTGTAAAACCAATAAATAAAATTTCTAAGTTTCACCACAGTCCCTAATCAACTACAGGGACATCCTAAAGGCTCAGTCCAAACAGTTCTCTGTAATGAACGCAGCTCGCTGCTGCCTTCAGATGCTTTCTAAGGTCAGGATGATACATCGGTGCTGGTTTGTACGATTCTGATGTTCAGCCCAGGCCACTGTAGACTGGGGGGTTCACTATCCAGAAGGCAAGCTTTGTATACTTTCCTTCCACTCTTTGGGACTAAGGGTTCCACAACCACTCAGTCTTGCCAATACTTGTTTGACTTGTAACATTATTAAAGGTCTTAATGAAGTTGGAACAAACTCCCCACCCTAAAGATCTCACTGTCAAACATTACATCATCAGCAGGTAACTTCCAATCCCTAACGGCTTTCTAAACAGAAATGACTCATGAGACATTTATCTTGTGAAAGGCTTGGAATGTCAAAACAAACCTGTATGAGCAAGAGCCTAAGATTTGGAGAAGGCCTAGATCGGAGATCCAGAACCAGCTCTATCATTTACTTGTAGTTTCTGGCACATCGGAACTTCCTCTTCTGCCTTTGTTCTTGCTCATAGGCAGATGCATTCAACTACAGTGAGCATTAATCCAATACCAATTTACAGCAACAAAGGCAGGTACTTGGTGCTGAGATACTGTAGGACACTGCAGTATACTGCTCATGGGACAGCCAGGAGTGGGGGCTCAAGCCTGTAATCTTAGCACTTTGGGGGCTAAAAAAGATCTCCAGGAGGATCAGGTCAGTCTAGGCTACTGAGTGAGAATCTACTTCAAATAAACCAACAAAAACCTAGGATGGTGGGAGAAGGTAGAGGATGATCAAAGTACATTCCACACATATATGGAAATGTCAGTGAAGGCTCTTAGTACAATTAATGTATGTAATAATTAAAAAATAAAATCTCAGCTGGGGATGTAACTCAGTGGTAGAATACTTGCCTAGTACACAGAAACCCCATGTTCAATCCTCAGCACTTCATCTTCCTCACACCACCACCATGTTCCCCAGCATGCTAGGCAAGCCTTATACCAGATCTGTACCCCATCTAGAGGGATCATCTCTGAAAGGCTCAACTGGGAAGGGACTGGGAAAATCTGATATTGAGAATTTTGTTGTTGCTATTTGTAATAATGTGCCTGTGCATACACATCACAGCATTCAGGAGATAAACTTTAAGGGAGCAGTTCTCAACATGGGGGTCAAATGACTTTCACAGGAGTTGTTAAGATCATCAGAAAACACAGATATTTACATGACAACTCATAACGGTGGCAAAATTACAATTATAAAAGAAATAACTTTATGGCTGGGGTCACCACATGAGGAACTGCATTAAAGGGACGCAGCATTAGGAAGGTTGAGAGCCACTGCTTTAAGGAAATAAACAGGTTCTCCCCTCTTACCATGTGTACCCCAGGGATGGAACTCAAGCTGTCAGGTTTGTCAATAAGTACCTTCACCTACTGATGTGGGCTCATCACACGAACCTAATGGCCTTGAACTCACTATGTAGACTGGGCTGGTTTTGAATTTGTGTCTATCCTGATCTTTTGACCCATTTACCTCTGCCTCTTCAGTGCTGGGGTCAGTTGTAATATAATGGCTGGGAATGTAATTATTATTCATTATTAACTACAATTTATGTTCTATAAAAACATGACTATAGGGTTGGTGATGCAGCTCAGTTGGCCTAGCATGCACCAAGTCCTGGGTTGAATCCCCAACACCAAATAAAGTCAGGCAGGATGGCACTTGTCTGTAATCCTGCACCCAGGAGGTAGAAGCAAGGAAGATAACAAGTTCAAGGTCATAGCACATGTGAGGCCAGCCTTGGCTGTGAGAGCCTGTCTCTATGTACTTTTTATTAAGTTCTTAACTTACAGATCAGCATAAATGGAAAGGTTATTACTCTTCTTTTAGTGTATTTACTCATTCCTTGTAAACATATGGCATAAATCAACTCTAGAGGCCAAAGTCAACATCTAACTACAGGAAGTAGCACCAAGACTATGTCCACATGGAGAATGGAAGCCATATTTGGTTACAGCCAGGATGGACACTGCTGCAGAATTTCTGGAAGTTTCTGTCTGCTTTGGAATTTTCTGAATTTGTATATTTTAAAGGCTCAGTTCAACCTCCTTTTTTTTAAAATCTTTAAACTCTAGAAATGAGCCTTGGTCTACTAGAAGAAACTCCTGTCTGTTCTATATCAGCTCTTCCCCTAGCACATGACACTACTATTTCTTTAACCTATCTGCACTTCCTGCCCTATCCTGCAGAAAGGACTAAGAATGAAGCCCACTAGTGATTTCCGTTCCTACTGATGCCTTCATTTTCCTGTTAAGAGAACTTTGTTCTTCATGCCCCCTCTGTTTGACCAGCTGTATCATTATTTTCTGAAACTACAAACCAAACCTTAAAACACACAAGCCAATAACCTGAAAGCACTGACAATTTCCTCACATTAAAAAACATGTAGAGATCCCAGCACTTGGAAGGCAGAGACAGGCAGATCTCTGTTTGAGGCCAGCCTGGTCTACAGTGGGAGTTCCAGGAGAGATTCAAAAGCTACAGAGTAACCCTGTCTCAAAAAAAAGACAAAAAACATGTAGAGAGGCTGGCAAGATGGCTCAGTGTTTAAGAGCACTTGCTGCTCTTGCAGAGTTTGAGTCCACATCAGAGGGCTCACAATGCCTACAGCTCTCTTCTGCAGGCATCTATCTGCAGGCATGCAGACACTCAGACACTCTTATATACACACAAAGTCTTTAAAGGTATGTAAGAAAACTGGCTGTGCAATCACAGCACTTGGGAGTCTTAAAGAGAAGGGTTGCTTCAAGTCGAGTCCTGCATGGGCTACATAGCAAAAGCCTGTCCAAAAAAGAAAAAAAAGAGTTCTCCATGAGCTGTAGCATAGTGGTAGCAGGCTTGCCTAGTATATATAATCTCCTGAATTCCATGCCCAGCATCGAAGGATGGGGTATTGATCTAAACAGAAAAAAAAACTTTTAGCATGAATACTGGGGAATATTAATTTTAGGTGTGTTACTTTCGTATATGTTGCATTTGTTTAACTCTGTGAAGTTGTGTTACTGTGCCTGTCAAAAACACCTGATGATCTAAAAAAGAACTGAATGGCCAATAACAAGGCAGGAGAAAGGATAGGCGGGGCTGGCAGGCAGAGAGGAGAAATAGAAAGAGAAATCTAGGAGAAGAAAGTAGCCACAGAAGGAGAAGGGCATCAGGGGCCAGCCACCCAGCTACACAGCAAGCCACGGAGTAAGAAATAATGAAATGTACACAGAAATAGAGAAAAGTAAAAGCCCAAAGGCAAAAGCTAGACAAGAAAATTTAAGTTAAGGAAAGCTGGCTAGAAACAAGCCAAGCTAAGACAGGCATTTATAATTAAGTATAAGTGTCCGTGTGTGACTTATTTGGTACCTGGGTGGCAGGGCCCCAAAAGAGCAAAGCCAAACAACTACACCTGGCCTAGAGCAAGACAAAAATATTCCTAAGACTGAAAAATCAGACCCATCCAATACTGTAAACCAAATGCAGATCAGGTAATACTGTCTAAAAGCATACAGATCTGACCAACAAGTCAATATTAAGGGTAGTTAAGGTATCCTAAGACTGACTTAAGGGTAGTCAAAATCAGACTGCAACACACAGATTGAAGGCTACCTAGCAGGGAGGACCCTAAGATGACTGTAGCTTGTAATAAGTTTTGATTTTGCCCAATCACTTTTGCAAGCTTTAGTGAAACATTTCACTATTAGGATAAGAATTTGTACCATATCAAGCTGACGAAAGAAAATGCTGGCTGTACTTTCAGGAGGGGGCTAAAATCTTTTTAGATTATGGATGAGCCTATAGAAAAATGTCTGCCATAAATCAGTGAAGGGGAAGATGAATAGGAATCTCACACAACTTAATAAAACATAGCTCTCTGAACAAA